TTTCCTCTCCCTGTCTCTGTTCTGTTGAACACAAAGGTAGATATTCTGAAGGATGCATGAAAAGCTGCCGTTAACTTCCATTATATTTGTTCACTACTATAGCTGTCAATGGTTACCACTTTCCAACATTATTCTGTATATGCTTCTTTGAGGAATAATATAGTAATAATAATACTCACCCGAGGGAGACTTTGAAGACATTTTTAACTTCTGGGTGAACAAACACTTTAAAATGTTAAAAAGCTTTTCTTTTGTTCCCTCAAAAAATGTTGCTTTGTTTTTACATTAAAGTTTAGATTATGTGTGTTATTTGATTTGCAAAACACTTTGGTCAACATTTGTTCATGACATAATACAAAACAAAATACGAAATCAAACACGAAACCCAAAACAAAACGAGAAACAAAACACGAAATGAAAGGAAATGTAACACAAAATGCAAAATAAAACGAGAAATGAAACACCAAAAAAAACGTGAAAAGAGAAACAAAACATGAAATGAAACACAAAATGAAATGAATAACAAAAAGAAATGGAACCTAACACGAAATGCAAAACGAAACACACATGAAACTTGAAACAAAACGAAACGTAACACGAAACGCAAAATGAAATGCGAAACAAAGCATTAAATGAAACACAAAACAAAATGAAACGTAACACGAAATGCAAAATGAAACGAGAAGCAAAACACAAAACGAGAAATGAATCACAAAATGAAACGCAAAACGCAAAACGAAACGAAACGAAAAAAAAGAAACTGAATGTAACACGAAACGCTAAATGAAACACGAAATGAAACGCAAAACAAAAAGAAACAGAACGTAACACTAAATGCAAAGTGAAACACGAAATGAAACTTGAAACAAAACGAACTTAAACACGAAATGCAAAAAGAAACGAGAAACGAAACTAAATGAAACGTAACACGAAACGCAAAATGAAACAAGAAATGATTCTTGAACTGAAACACGAATAGAAAAACTAAATGAAAGGAGAAACAAAACAAAAAATAAAATGTGAAATGTGAAACAAATCATGAAACAAAACATGAAACAAAACGAAATGGAACATAACATAAAACGCAAACGGAAACAAGAAATGAAACACAAAACAAAATGACAAACAAACGCAAAACTACATGCGAAGCAAAACATGAAACAATACAAAACACAAAACAAAACAAAAACACACCCAAAACCATACGTTGTCAGCCTGTAGACTTGCATGGCTAGTGAAGTGCAGTGGAGTTTTCCTTGCAGTAATGTGTGTGTGGTGTGTGGTGTGTGTGTGTGTTTCAGGTGGTGTTGGTGTTTGCCCTCAGCATCGGCGCTCTGGTGATTTACTTCATCGACTCCTCTGAGTGAGTACACATTCATCTTTATTTCTACACTCTCAAATTTGTGGACGTTTTCCTCATTTAGGGGATAAAAGCATCTAAATGCAGTATATTATCTCCAGGATATTATTATTATTAATATTATTATTAATAATAATAATAACATTAATAATAATAATAGAGAGGTAATAATTATGGGGAAAGGGTTCTTATTGTGAGCTCTGTGACATCATCAAGTTGTTGTAAAATGTAAAAATGTAAGTGATAAAATATAAATAAATGTATAATGTGGATTGTAGAGTACAGGGTTGTAGAGTTAAGCACATGGACTAATGTGCAATATTGTGAATATACATTTTAAAGCACTAATAAAATAACAATAAAGATCTCATCATCATAATAATAATATTTATTGAACACTTTTCAAAAATATCGTAAGCTTTAAATATATTTTTAATGTAAACAGTTTTATTGTAGTCTGTTGTTCTGCAGCACAAAGAACGATAAAAAATGAAATATAAACAAAAAATAAAAAGAAATAAAATAAAAGACAAAGTTTAATAACAAAACCCACAACAATCCCACACAATAATGACACAATGCAATCTGAAATTAATATTCATTCATTTTTTGTTCGGCTTAGTTCCTGATTTATCAGGGCTCGCCACAACGGAATAAACTATTCCAGCATATGTTTTACACAGCGGAATCCTTTCCAGCTGCAACCCATCACTGGGAAACACCCATACAGACTGTGACAACACAGGGAGAACATGCAAACTCCACACACAATCACCAACTGACCCAGCAGGTACTCGAACCAGCGACCTTCAGTGCAAGCCACTGTGCCGCCCTCAATCTGAAATGAATTTAAATAATAATATAACATTGATCAATTAAAGAATCAAAAGTCCATTTCAACATTTATTACAAAATATCCATGAAGTATGGCAAGAGTGTGCACAGACTGCCGTTCACTCTGCTTGATGGGAGTGGGCGGAGCTCAATATATTGTTTTGCTCACCTTGATTGTCTCTGCAGCATCATGGGTAATGTAGTTTTACTGCACAAAGTCTGTAAATAAACACAATTGCTATAAAAATAAAGTGAATTAAATAATCAATGAACAACCTCTGAGCTCACAGCAGGCCTGTTTTACACTAAATCAAAGACTTCAGCAAACATTTACAGGCACTTAGCAGCATCAATAATCAATAAACTATCAAAAGAGCTCCTGTATTATGTATATATGAAAGTGTCCTGATGAAGATTTGTGCTGTGTGTCTGTAGCGGAGGCTGTGTAGATGAATGAGTGATGGCGACTGTTGCGGAAGGAATCATCCCTCGGGGAGCCACAGACAGATTTAGCAATAGAAAGATGAGTTTAGAGCTTGAGCAGTGAAGATGTGCGGTTTTACAGCTCAAACTGACGTCATGTGAACATCTCACACACACACACACACACACACACACATCACTGAGCTTTAAAAGGTGAAGACCGCTATAACACACCACCGGCCAGAGCAGGAGCTGGAACTCTGCTGTTTGTGGAGCAACCTGTGCTTGTTCTCCTGAATAATACCAGTAATAATAGTTCCTTTTATATGTAACGAGGCTGTCTTCTGCTCAAGGCTAGGGATCTAACGATTGACTTAACTCATGATTCACTCAACTCATGATTCACTCAACTCAAGATTCACTCAACTCATGATTCACTCAACTCATGATTCACTCAACTCAAGGTTCAGTTAACTCACTCTTTTCTCAATTTATTCAACTTATGATTCACTCAACTCAAGCATCCCTCAACTCAAGGTTCAGTTAACTCACACTTTAATCAACACATTCAACACATGATTCACTGGGTTAACTCTATTTATGATTTACTCAACTCATGATTCACTCAACTCAAGATTCCCTCAATTCATAATTCACTTGACTCAAGACTCATTCAACTCAAGATTCATTCAATTCATGATTCACTCAACTCAAGATTCAATCAACTCATGATTCACTCAACTCAAGATTCACTCAACTCGTGATTCACTCAACTTACTTAACTCAAAGTTCACTTAGGTTACGATTCACTCAACTCAATCAATTCATGATTCACTCAACTCAAGATTCCCTCAATTCATAATTCACTTGATTCAAGACTCATTCAACTCAAGATTTACTCAATTCATGATTCACTCAACTCAATCAAATCAAGATTCTCTCAACTCATGATTCACTTAACTTAATCAACTCAAGATTCACCCAATTCATGATTCACTCAACTCATGATTCACTTAACTCAAGATTTCCTGAACTCCTGATTCCCTCGACTCAAGATTTATTCAACTCAAGATTCACTCAACTCACGATTGACTCAACTCATGATTTACTCAACTCATGATTCACTCAACTCACTTAACTCAAAGTTCACATAGGTCATGAATCACTCAACTCAACTCAAGATTCACTCAACTCAAGATTCACTCAACTCAAAATTCACTCAACTCATGATTCACTCAACTCAAAATTCACTCAACTCATGATTCACTCAACTCAAGATTCACTCAACTCAAAATTCACTCAACTCAAGATTCACTCAACTCATGATTTACTCAACTCATGATTCACTCAACTCACTTAACTCAAAGTTCACATAGGTCATGAATCACTCAACTCAATCAACTCAAGATTCACTCAACTCAAAATTCACTCAACTTATGATTCACTCAACTCATGATTCACTTAACTCATGATTCACTCAACTCATGATTCACTCAACTCAAGGTTCAGTTAACTCACACTTTTCTTAATTTATTCAACTTATGATTCACTCAACTCATGATTCACTTAACTCATGATTCACTCAACTCATGATTCACTCAACTCAAGGTTCAGTTAACTCACTCTTTTCTCAATTTATTCAACTTATGATTCACTCAACTCAAGCATCCCTCAACTCAAGGTTCAGTTAACTCACACTTTAATCAACACATTCAACACATGATTCACTGGGTTAACTCTATTTATGATTTACTCAACTCATGATTCACTCAGTCTCATCTGAAGATCTTCTATAATGTTCTTCTGAAGGAAATAAGCCACCTACATATGAATGGCCTGAGGGTGACTAAATTAAAGAAATAGTTCACCCTAATCACAAAACGAGCCCTTTGACACTCACTGAGTGTAGAAGCTCAATAAAAGTAGGCTATTTTACGTATGTGTTAACATTTATAGTGCAGAAGTCAAACAACCAGGCACTGATGATTATTAGCTGAAAATCATTCTGCTTTCTGTGTTGAGAATGAGAAAGACACACAAGAACCAATTACTCTGGTGTCAGTGACCAGCTCTGGAAAAAAGAGTGTGCAAGGAGAGCGAATTAACCTAATTGCATCACTTCAGTTAAACACACGTGCTATATAAGATGCATGAAAGGACATTTGACTGTTTGCAATGTTTGCGCTTTAGATGCCAAATAGTGGTGCTTGTTTCAGTAAGTCTCGACCCTTTGTGTTATTATCGCTCTGATCTTTCGTTTCTGAACGGCATGTCCTGTTTTTGGCATCAGAAACACACTCTCATGCTCAAAGCAGACCCGTCCACACAGGAAGTAAGCCTTATCCTCTTCCTCATTAGTGCATCATGGGGGATTTAGTGATGTGATTTGATTCTGTGGCCTCCGGCGGGCAGAGTTGAATTGTCCTGAGCTCTGCAAACCTGCGGCGGGCATCAGCTTACAGCCGGACAGCGGCATTAGAAACCGCTTCAGAGAATGGGGAATTTCATTTGTCAGAAATTAAGCAGATGTAGAAGTGTGTGCGTGTGTGCGTGTGTGTGTGAGTGTGTGTGAGTGAGAGGGAGGCTATGCGTATCTGAGTTTTTACATTGGAAGATTTGTTTGTTTGAAAGAAGTGAACTCCAAACAGACTCTCCTGTGTTTAATCAGGTCCTGTGATTGAGGACATTTGTTCTTCAATGTTTCTCAAAGGGCTGATACATAGATGAACAGGAGTAAACAGAGATGAACTGTTCAAAAATTAAATGGACTTAAGTGTAGTGAACAAAAGTGAAGTGAAGAGAAGTGAAGTGAACAGAAGTGAAGTGAATAGAAGTGAAGTAATCAGAAGTGGAGTGAACAGAAGTGAAGTAAAGTCAATGTAAACAAAAATGGAGTGAACAGAAGTGAAGTGAAGGGAACAGAAGTGTAGTGAACAGAGGTGTGAACATAAGTGAAGTAAAGTGAAGTAAACAGAAGTGAAGTGAAGGGAACAGAAGTGTAGTGAACAGAGGTGTGAACATAAGTGAAATGAAGTGAAGGGAACAGAAGTGTAGTGAACAGAATTGGAGTGAACAGAATTGGAGTGAACAGAAGTGTGAACATAAGTGAAGTAAAGTGAACAGAAATGGAGTGAACAGAAGTGAAGTGAACAGAAGTGAAGTAAAGTGAACAGAAGTGAAGTAAAGTGAAGTAAACAGAAGTGAAGTGAATAGAAATGTAGTGAACAGAAGTAAAGTGAACAGAAGCGAAGTAAAGTCAACAAGTAAAGTGAAGTGGCTGATGCAGTTATAGCTGTAGTAGCTGTTGTTTTGATTGTAGGAGTTGAGCTGCAATTGTTGTTGAGCTGCTCTTGTTTAGTTGTTGTTGTTATAGTTGTTGTTGAGCTGTTGTTGTGGTTGTTATAGTTGTTGTTATTGTTGTAGTTGTTGTTGTTGTCGTCGTCGTCGTTGTTGTTGTTGTTGTTATAGTTGTAGTTGTTGTAGTTGTTGTTGTCGTCGTCGTCGTCGTTGTTGTTGTTGTTATAGTTGTAGTTGTTGTAGTTGTTGTTGTCGTCGTCGTCGTCGTCGTTGTTGTTGTTGTTATAGTTGTAGTTGTTGTTGTGGTCGTCATCGTTGTTGTTGTTATAGTTGTAGTTGTTGTAGTTGTTGTTGATGTCGTTGTCGTCGTTGTTGTTGTTATAGTTGTAGTTGTTGTAGTTGTTGTTGATGTCGTTGTCGTCGTTGTTGTTGTTATAGTTGTAGTTGTTGTTATAGTTATAGTTGTAGTTGTTGTAGTTGTTGTTGATGTCGTTGTCGTCGTTGTTGTTGTTATAGTTGTAGTTGTTGTAGTTGTTGTTGATGTCGTTGTCGTTGTTGTTGTTATAGTTGTAGTTGTTGTAGTTGTTGTTGATGTCGTTGTCGTCGTTGTTGTTGTTATAGTTGTAGTTGTTGTTATAGTTATAGTTGTAGTTGTTGTAGTTGTTGTTGATGTCGTTGTCGTCGTTGTTGTTGTTATAGTTGTAGTTGTTGTTGTTGTTGTTGATGTCGTTGTCGTCGTTGTTGTTGTTATAGTTGTAGTTGTTGTTGTTGTTGTTGTAGTTGTTGTAGTTGTTGTTGTCGTCGTCGTCGTCGTTGTTGTTATAGTTATAGTTGTAGTTGTTGTAGTTGTTGTTGATGTCGTTGTCGTCGTTGTTGTTGTTATAGTTGTAGTTGTTGTAGTTGTTGTTGATGTCGTTGTCGTTGTTGTTGTTATAGTTGTAGTTGTTGTAGTTGTTGTTATAGTTATAGTTGTAGTTGTAGTTGTAGTTGTTGTTGTTGTTGTTGTTGTTGTTGTTGTTGTTGTTCGCTGTAAGTGTCTGTGCTCTCCTGTATGTAAATCCGCTTGTATTCTGTGACCTGAGACTCTCTGAAGTATTACTTACGTTAAACGTCTCTTAATTACAGCCGGGCTTCAGTTTCTGCTCAGAGGAGCTCAGGTGTGTGTTTCACTGACCTGCTGAACACACACACACACACACACACACACACACACACACACAGCTGCTCTCTCTCAGGTCCTGTGATGACGTCAGGTTTTGTTCAGCCTTCTCCACTGCTGCAATTCTGTCACTCACACCAAACACTGATCTTCTCCGCTGAAGGAAACTCCTCCGCTCTATACGCACACACACACTTTGGTTTTATCAACACAATTTCACGGCAATTCATAACATTTTGATTTAGTGACTAATTCATATGAATTCGTACGATCTAATTTGTTAAATTTAGTCTGATTTGCTCATCCCCCAATGACGGTTGGGTTTAGGGGTGGGGTTGGCTGCCACGCCTTCTTTTTAAAATGTTACAATTTCGTACGACTGAACTGTACGTATGAATTTGTACGAATTAGCCACTAAACTGGCAAAACGTAAAAACACGTTAAAAAAACGTATGTTTCCTCATGAGATCAGGCTGGTTATATATACATTTATATATTGTAAATGACGTTAAGGTCTAATAATACAATAAAGGTCATGATTGTTGTAATATTTCCTATTACAGTATATTTTTATTTTGCAGAAAATAAAATGTCCTTATATTGTGACTGTATAATATTATAATACTAATATTTAGAGCAACGTACGGTTATTAACCTCTTTTCCAAAACAAACCACTGTTATACAATGACTTGCCTAATTACCCTAACTTTACCCTAACTAAGCTGAACACTAGTGTCTTGGAGAATATCTAGACTAATATTATGTGCTGTCATCATGGAGAAGAGAAATAAATCAGTTATTAGAGGTCAGTTATTATAACTGATATGATTAAATGTATCTCCCCTATAGAATATATCTTTATTATCATTATCACAAGTACAATGAGTGCGTGTGTATGTATGAATGTGTGCAATTGTGTGTGTGTGTGTGTGTGTGTGTGTGTGTGTATATATATATATATCAGCTATTTTATATGATAATATTGTTCCTGTTCTCACTGTGTTATTGATGTTTGTTTGAGAACTGCTCGATGTGATAAATCTTTTACATGTAGAATTAGTTTTGTTTTTTTGCAGACAATAAAAAAGGAAATTAGCTCAATGTCTGTCTTATAATAGCCTCATGATATCACTGCTTTAATAATTGACAGCATGTTCTGCTTCAGTATTTTCCCAGTTATAGCTGCATCATGATAATGATACATGTTGAAATATGTTCATATGAAATCTAAAGCTTATGAATGAGTCCAGAACAAATAAAGCATTGGATCATTATGATTAATGTCTTTCATCGATGCTGTTTTTACAGTCCCATTGAATCCTGTGAGCATTTCGACAAGAACTTCACCCTGCAGATCGACATGGCCTTCAACGTCTTCTTCTTGCTGTATTTTGGACTGCGTGTAAGTTCATTTCACACACAGATGCAGGGTCATTCCTTCATTTATACAGTGCTCCTTCACCATCCTTATTTAGCTCTTTTAATTTTGGCATGCACTTTTAATGACATAAATATGCTTTTTATTTTTATTTTCTTTATTCATTTGAACTTTTTCTTTATTTGATTTTACATTTAACTTATATTTTTACTTAATTTTTAAATTAAATTTTATAAACACTTTAGTGTAGGCAGTAAAGTGAATATGAGAACTTTGTGGTTTTTAGCAGTTACCAAAACTTGTCTTTTTAGCTTGAATTTAATTAAATTCAATTTATATTTTCTGTTTATTGATGTTTTTTTTTTCTTTGGTAGGTTCTTTCATCCCATAAAAATGCATACGTTTTTGATAAATATTTATTTTTTCCTTATTTATTTATTTATTTGTTTGTTTGTTTGTTTGTTTATTAATTAATTTATTCACTTTTTTGTTTGTTTATTAATTTATTAACTTACTTGTTTGTTTATTTGCATATTTATTTGTTTGTTTATTCATTAATTTATACACTTATTTGTTTGTTTATTAATTTACTTGTTTATTTCCTTAAATGATTTGTTTGTTTATTAACTTATTAACTTGTTAATTTAATTGCTTATTTATTTATTTATTTATTTATTTATTTATTTATTTATTAACTTGTTTATTTCCTTTTTTTATTTGTTTATTTTTTAATTTACTTGTTTGTTTATTAAATAATTTGTACACGTATTTGTTTGTTTATTCATTTATCGATTTACCTTATTTTTTGTTTGGGTTTTAATTTATTTAATTAAATTATTTGTTTGTTTCCTTATTTATTTGTTTGTTTATTAATTAATTAATTTACTTATTTGTGGTTTTTAATGTATTAATTTGCTTGTTTGTTTTCTTATTTATTTGTTTATTAAGTAATTAATTTGTTTATTTTCATATTTATTTATATATTTTCAGTAATTGTAGAACTTCAGCGATTAAATAAGCAGTATTGATGTTCCTGAGCTTTAAAGTTTCAAGTCATTTTTCTCGTGTGTTTTTGTTTGTTCGTCAGTTTATAGCAGCCAATGATAAGCTGTGGTTCTGGCTGGAGGTAAACTCAGTGGTGGATTTCTTCACGGTTCCGCCGGTCTTTGTGTCTGTTTACCTGAACCGGAGCTGGCTGGGTAAAAACACCAACAATACTGACACTTTCCCTTTAATACCTCTGTGTGTGTGTGTGTGTGTGTGTGTGTGTGTGTGTGTGTGTGTGTATCTAAAGCAGAGCTGACAGGGTAAAACATCAACATTTTTGACACTTTGCCTTTAATACCTGATTATTTGTGCAGATTATTGACTAAAGGGTGTTAGAAATGTAAAACCCCTGAGCTGATATTAGACTACGCCTGCAGCACCACCTGCTGGATTTTGTGTGTGTGTGTTTGTATGTATGCTTGTGTTTTGTATGTGTGTGTGTGTGTGTTTATTTGAGTGTGTGCATGCATGCGTTCATATGCACATATTTATGCATATGTTTGTGTGTGTTCGCATATGTATATGAACATGCGTGTGTGTGTGTGTGTGTATCTGTATTTGTGTGTGCATGCGTGTAGGTCTGTGTTTATGTATGTGTGTGTTTGTGTGTGTGCATGTGTGTGTTTGTGTGCATGCGTGTCTGTATGTGTCTTTGTGTGTGCATATGTGTATGAGCATGCATGTGTTTGTATGTGTGCATGCGTGTGTGTTTGTATGCATGCATATATGTGTGTTTGTCTGCATATTTGTATAAGCGTGCGTGCGTGCGTGCGTGCGTGCGTGCGTGCGTGCGTGCGTGCGTGTGTGTGTGTGTGTGTGTGTGTGTGTGTGTGTGTGTGTGTGCGTGTGTGTGCAGAAGTAATTCCTCTAGATCAGATGATGGTGCAGTCAGTGGTTTTGCTGGTTTCTGCTTGCTGGAATTATGGAGACGTTTATAAAAATGATCCTGCTATTATTTCAAGAGTGTTTAGCTTGTGATGATGTCATCATTAGATTAGAATATATGATGGGAATAATTCAGCTTTATTAAATCTGCATTTGCTGATGCTTTTATCTTCATTTCTTTAAGTCAGAATGGTTCCGCGTCCCAATGCAACCTAAACAGTGTTCTAATATAACATTAGTGTACAAAGATCATAGTGTATTAAAATAAATGAAGTGACCTATTATTCTAAGCTAATGATTTCCAGTAGAAATGTGAAGTGCAGATCTATTATTATTACCCATAATACACTGTGTATTTGGCTGTGGATTAGAACTACAAAAAAAGTTGTAAACAAACTCCACACATGATGGCTGTATGAAAGCTACAGTAGGGTTACACTGGAGAAAACTACATTCTTGCTCAGAGTTTTTGTCTCATTTCTAGTCCAAAAATCTCAAAATTCTCAAACCAAGAAGCATTTTCAAGACTTGCACAAAATATAGTCCTGTTTTCAGAAATGATGAGGCAAAATGAAGAGAGTTTCTCTTTAAAACAAGCAGAATAATCTGCCAATGGGGGAAGAGAAATAATGACATGTCAAAAAGGAAGACTAGATTATTTTTCTTCCCCTGCTGGCAGATTATTTTTTGCTTGTTTAAAGGAAAACTCACTTCATTATAGCATATTCATTCTAAAACAAGACAATGTTGTTTGCTTGTGTGTTAAATGCTTTTTGATTTATTATTTTTTAGATATTTGGACTAGAAATGTTAGAAGGTAAATCCTGCTAATTTTAAATAAATCAGATCAACATTGAAGATAAAATGAAAACCAGATTAACAATTTCATTATAAAACACTGTTCGCTAAATATCTGCCAAAGTTGAAGATGAAATCAAATGATTTAATTTTATTTTATAAATTTTCACTGTGACAACCCATCGTCTCTGTCAAATCCATCATTAAAATGAAGCTGTCGATTTAACATTTCATTTCCTGCGTGTCCACGTCAAGACTGCCAATATTACAATGAAAAGCCAAACTCAAGAATAAAGTGAAAACACAAGCTTGTCATTAATGTTCTCGCTATTATACTGACACAATTCTAATTGAAATGTACATTAAAGTTTTCCTTTTATTGACGCTTTTATTTCAGTTTTCACTTACGATTTTATTTTCAACGTCAACCTGAATGAAAGCCTATGCTAATCAGTGTGAGGGGCGTATTTTACTTACTTAAAAAAATAAAAAGTGTGTTTTTGCAGTTTAAGAGAATAAATAAAAAATGATTTGCTTTCTCTTCACGAAGAGTGCTTTTAGGAAGAGCACATGTATGCGAACGTGTGTGTGTGTGTGTGCTCAGAGCTGAACTCAGCCTCAATATGTGTTGATTGAACCATATTTTGGTGATTGAATCACTGGATTTACGGGATTATTTGAGGCTTTTCACATGAATGACTGTAATATCTGGAGTTGATAATTGTTTGTTAATCAGCCGAAAGCCATTGTCTAGATGAGCTTGTGTTTGAGCTTTGTCTTTGTGTGTGAGGTGGAATTTACTGTGCACTCCTGTTTGTCTCTTGGTCAGGGATTGATTCATGTCCTTTATCTTTGAATCTCTGGGATAAAGCATTGTGTGTACATATATATTATATAATTGTAGTGTGATTTGAGAGTTTTGATGTCAGAATGTTTGTTGGGCTGGATGTTGGTGAAGTGCTGCCCCCTGCAGGTGATGCCACACACTGCGCACATATCCAGATAGTACGTGTCTGTCACTACATCTGTCAAACTGTATTTTATTTATTCAGTTTTGCTGTTGTTCTTAAATAAATGTGGTCTTGCTCTGCTTTATATTCCTGAACTGCTACATCTGTACACACACAAAGCTGTTCTAAGCTTCAGGTGCTTGTGAATGTGCCCAAAATGAAGCATGTGATCTCAGAAAACACTGAGCAGCTCCTCTTATTGTCCAGTTTGTCAAACAGACCTCTTCACTGTCTATTTTAATCCAATCTTAAAAGCCATCTTTTCTCTTCAGTCTTTGACATGGGTGGATTATTGTCATGTTTTATAAAGCAGTTTTAATCATGTTTGACTTCTAGTCTTGCTTTAGGTGTTGTAAAGTGCTTTATAAGTAATGCTTGAGTGGAGTTGAGAGTCTGGCTGCGTCTGAAATTACCCCTCACACCCTTAATAGTGCATTATTAGAGGAAGCAGCTGTTTGTGGTGTTGTCTGAAACCCTAGTGGACGTTCTGAAGTGCACTCAAACCATGTACAGCAACGACGAGTTCTCAAGTCATGTATTGGTAAATGAACGTCTGCATGCATGACGGCAATCAAAACACTTTCAGAATCAAAATGTCCACGTCTCTTCAGTGCGGTCAGTTTGACTCCTCTCATTCACTCCTCGTGTAAGTAAGGGGACTATATCAGTGCTCTATTGAGTGTATAGGGTGTGATTGGGCAGTAGAGCGGGTCAGAGCTCAGCTTATGTTCCTGATGTCCATCACTGCTGTTTTCCAGGACTGTAATCCTTCTATAGGAACAGCAGGTCACGGGGTCACCTCATCCAGCTTTACTCTGATTATTATTATCATTCAGCTTTCATTCAGTTAATGGCCTTTGTTGCTGAATCTGTGTGTGTGTGTGTGCGTGTGTGTGTGTGTGTGTCCACTAGAGTTTGATTCTGCAGTTTACCGCATGTTTTAAATGGGTCAAAGTAATCAAACCTCTCCTGCTGATAATGAAACAGTCAGGCCGCGTCTACACTAATGTGGATAAATCTGATCAGTCTTTAGTTCTCTCCATCATCCACACTAAAGTGCCTGTAAGTGATGTACCGCACAGCACACAGTCGTCAGACACTTCTACCTGCTCATACTGCAGCCACCGTTTATATACATGTAGAGAATCATTATTATTATGTCAGCTGTAATGTTAGTTATGTTTCCAAAGCAGTCCACACCATTATGGGATAGCACAGCATTCATTAGATGCGCACTTCAGAGTCTCGCTGAAAGTAGTTGGTCATGCGGGTACTTCTCGCATAGTTTTCCCAATACTATGAGCTCAGACATACTACTTGGCTCACTTGCTGTTTTTAATGTTCTATATTCACTGCGTATGAGCGGGTGCAGCCATTTAAATCTTTTTGGCTCGAGACTTCCGCTCTCATTCACTTCCATTCACTTTTAGATGCTAAAAACTGCTTGTTTTGCTGCTTGATGATGCAAGCTGATATTTTCTTATTATATTAATTTATTTTATCAATATAGTCATGCAAACACATGTTTGTAGAGCATGTAGTTTGACCGTTTTCTGCCGTTTATTATTCCTAGTCATTTCTCCCATAGGCGACTGAATCTAAAGTTCTAAAACAATCGCAAAAACAAGCGCATTTCTGCATTGAAGAACAAAGTCAATAGTAGGAAAGTGTAAAGTTACCTAGCAACTGCAGAGCCGCATTCCAAATGCTGATAACGATTGTTACATTGTCTCTGTGAGTTCTGCAGCTGCTGGCAACAGATACAATGTAACAGATTTAATGGCTGTGAGAATGCTGTTCTGCGGTTGCCAGGTAACCATTCTAAAAAGTGTAACATTGTATCGTGCTCATGAAAGTCAGTAAAGATCCTTTGAAGTGCTTTGAAAAAGTGTTGTTTTTATTTGATGTTAGATGTAATCTCAACTGAAACATGAAGAGAGGGTGGGGCATACAGTAGCTCCTCCTCTCAAAACAGCCAATAGAGTTTTGCTTTCTCACAGCTCTGCCAGTGAGAGTGGTTGAGCTCAAGCACATCAAATAAAAGCAAACAAGAAGAAGGGGGCGGGGCATGGCAAATCCTAGAGAGCAGTTGATTGGTCAGAAGATTTGAACCTAAAGTATGACGTGACAACTAAAATTATTGATCAATTTAGGCAGAAGATCTATATTGTGGAAATGACACATTGTTTCTCTTAATCCCAACAGGGAAACCAGCAGCCGTCAAGAATGCATGATTATGTGCTGTCATGGCTTTGCAATCAGTAAATGTGATTATAATGGAAGAGCACCAACATTAAATTGTGAATTACATTATGAGATCTCTGAACTATGTTGATCTCTGCTCGGTCCACTTTAGATGTTGAAAATTCAACTCTACAGTTTAACAAAGTGACTTTATTGACATTTTAGTCATTTAAAATAATATTATAATGTTAAAGAAATAATATCTAGAGAAATAAGTGTGTAAAATAAGAGAAAATGTGCTGCAGTTCATTACAAGATTTCTGTAGCGTCATACACAACACCAACCCAGCACTGCAGACTAATACAGATGTGCAGAAAACACACTTATTACAAATTGTCATGCTAAGAGTTGCCAGAGGAAGGCTAAAATGCTGTAATAAAATAATAAAATAAAAACAAAATCACAAAACACAGAAAACTGCTGATTTACCCATGCTTTTACAGTGCGCCACATGTTGAGTTTGTGAAAAATGTCTGAGCATTCTCCCAAAATCAAAATAAGATTTTTCACTATTTGCGGAAGCTGAAAGTTGTAGCCAGGTGAAGACTGACAATCCCCCCAGAGTGGATGAAATCAACCCAACAGCACACAACAGCGGGTTAAGAAGAGCTAAGATAAGAAGCATTGAGCGGCAGCAGTAGATGTTAAAGAGCAGATGATGTCCAGCAGAGCTCCGCATGCGTCCCAGGGCGATTCCTAAAGGAGCTTATGCTGTAATATCCTGATGAAAAGCTCTCTCTACATCACTGCATCATCCCGTTGTTTTCTCCCGGTGGGCTTCAGTGCATGTCCACCAGCTCTCCCTCCTCTGAGAGCACTTCTCCTGGATTCTTCATCATCATATACAGTACGGCAGCAGTGTAAATCATGATCTCCACCAAGATGCTGGTGTACCGGAGCCCAGACGGCGCCACACACACCCAGAGCCTCCAGAACACGCACAGACGCAAGAAATCGTGCGGAGAGCTTTTCCACAAGGGTTACCGGGTGAAAATGCTGCACGCGCCGGTGTGTGAGAAACAGGAGACTGACAACACACTCTCATTCTGTTTCTACAGCATCTCCTACTGGGGTAAGAGCTGAAACACACTGACGGACATCAGTCTGAGAGGCGGATGATGATTATTTGACTTATTGTGGACACCAGAAACCAAGCTAAGCAAAGTAGCAGCACACTCCTTTACAAGTTAGAAGTCAAAAGTAGACATTTCTGATATGTTAAATTATTTTAAACCACTAAAATGTCAATGAAAGTCACGTTGTTAAACTGTAGCATTGAATTTTCAAAATCAAAAGTGGACAGAGCCGACATTAACATCCCATAATGCAGTTCACAACCGGATATAAACCCAAAACACACTTAATACAGAAACTGTTCATTAACAGAGATCATTGACAGTGCAGTAGATAGGAGATCAGTAGAATGCATTGAAATGAGTAGAGATGAAGCATAAATTATTCTCATTAATCTTTCAAAAATCTCCCGTGTGCTGTGTATCTTGCTGTTCACTGTATTTGCTATATTTTTCTCATTATTTGTATTTCTTTTAGTTTGGCAAAAATGTGATTAAATGGATTATACAAATGTTTTGGGGTGGTGCGGTGGCTCAATGGTGTCGCACTGTGCCCTCACAGCCAGAAGGTTTCTGGTTTGAGTCCCGGCTGGGTCAGTTGGTGTTTTTGTGTGGAGTTTGCATGTTCTCCCTGTGTTGGTGTGGCATTCCTCCGGGTGCTCTGGTTTCCCCCACAGTCCAAATACATGCGCTGTAGTGGAATTGAGGAATTAAACTGGCTGTAGTAAACGAGTGTGTGTAAATGAGTGCGTATGCAGCTGGAAGAGCATCCACTGAATTAAAACATATGCTGGAATAGTTGGTGGTTCATTCCACTGTGGCAATCCCTGATAAATATTGGACTAAGCCAAAGGAAAATGAATGAATTAATTAGTTATTGACGTAACTTTGCCTTCATCTGTAACCAAATTACATATTTTATTATTATGATATACACATGTCAAAAGCAGCTGTCATCACACTTTGTACATTAATTGTACTGTATTTCCCTCATCTAATATATTGAATGCTGGTGAAAGCCTTGAATAATCTCCAATGATCAGTGAATGTTTATATTATTGTGTGGTGTGGGATCTGCAGCAGCAGTGCTGGGTTGCTCTGCATGTTTTGCTCATGTGTGTTAATCAAAGATTATCAGCTTATCTGCTGGAAGACTCAGTTTAAACCTCATAATGCATCCATAATCTCACATTCTCAGACCCAAAGAATCATCATTTATAAGACTGTTATAACTTGTGAATGTGGACATAATCGTTTTTTATTTTACATTTATTATATTTAGTCTTGTTTTCTTTTATAAATGTGAAATTTAATTCAAATCAAAACACATATTGTTATATATCACATAAACAGTCAATACACAGTAGAATATGCCGAGTTAGAGCCATAAAGAGCACTATAGGAGATTTCTAATGTTTTTCAATAATGTTATATTATTTGTATTGAGATACATAGTTATTGCTGTTTGATGCAGCATTTGACTTGTATATTTTGTGATATTATGTTATGTACATGATGTTTTATATGTTAAATAATGCCATACTGTATGTCATATGTATGCATAAGCAACAGGGAAAACAGATTGGAAAGAAGGATGGGGCTTGATGTAGACTTTTGGTCTATATTCTTTTGACCGTTCTTCGAAACCATATTTATATTGAAGCTTGGAAAAGTGTAAATAGTTCTTCCATTTGTTTTTTTTATTTTTGTTGTTCCTCACAAATGAAAAGTAAACTGTTGCATGGTAAGTTTGTAGTTTTATGCGTCAAATCCTTTGTGCCGAATCCCTATGGAAATGGTGGAGAACTGAAAGAAATAGATTGCCATTACACAGAGAAATGCTTTTATGATAGCCAGTGACCTTTAAAAAATAAAAAATATCATCAAAAAGAATCAAAATTATGAAATATAATAAGAACTTAATACACAGAACATTTTAGATATAGAAATAATGTTCTAACTATAGAAAATAAGATAAGAAAATTGAAATTTGGACACCACATTGGTTCAGTAGTGTCGCACTGTGGCCTCACAGCAAGAAGGTCTCTGGTTTCTAGTTTGCATGTTCTCACCGTGTTAGCCTGGGTTTGCTCCGGTTTCTCCCACAGTCCAAACACATGCGCTATAGAGGAATTAATGAACTAAACTGGCCATAGTGTATGAGTGTTTGTGTGTATGGGTGTTGCCCAGTATTGGGTTGCAGCTGGAAGGGCATCCGCTTTGTAAAACACATGATGGAATAGTTGGCGATTCCTTCCGCTGTGTTGACCCCTGATAAATAAGGGACTAAGCCAAAGGAAAATGAATGAATTTAAACCTATTTTAAACTTAAAAAAATGTAAACACTTAGGCCCAAATGTTTTTAACACGTATATAACTTTATAAATAAAATATAATGTCTAAAATGATCATAACAACCAACTAGTAAGTGATATTTTATGGATTTATGTCTTAGAAAATAACAATACATTCATCATCCATTCATTTTCCTTCGGCTTACTCCACACAGAAACGCCAGCTGACCCAGCCGGGACTCGAACCAGTGACCACTCAGACACTGTGTCACCTAACAAAACATTCTTCATAAAAAATAAAAAGTGTTTTAGAATATTTGCAAAGTTTTATTTGTTAATTAATTAATTAATTTAAAATCTTAAGCATCTCAAAATAGGACTGAATTGATTATTATATTTGACCTATGTTTGATCAACTTCTAGAAATGAGTAAAACTGAACCGTGAGCATTTGTAAAGGAAAAGCATCACACTGTGTATGTTTGAAGGCTAAGTGCATTAGATAAATGTGAGGCATTATTTTGGGCATCATGCTTTATTAATGTTTATTACTCGCTTCTGATTGCTCAGTCATTTCAAGGTGTGTTATTTCCCAGATAACAACCGCTAAATAACTCATTCAGGAACTGGGAATCACCATCAGCCAAAAGAAATGACTAAACTGCCAAATAGTACCATCTCGAGATCCACTGGAAAACTCTAGCCCCTCCCCATTCCCCAACAGCCCCGCCCCTTCATCAATATCCACGCCCCTTTTGCCAATCAGTGCATCATCTGAGTATTTAAACTGCACTTTAATAAAAGCATACTGTAATTCAGTGTGAATGCATACTTGTACTATTTAAATTCCTACAGTAGTGTAGAAGTGTGCGCTTTGGGACGCAGCATCTTTCTCAGTGAGTTGTTCCTGAATACAGGTCTGAGATCAGCTTTTGCGTCATGAGCCGTGAGGCAGATGTTGTCTGTCAGAACACACACACTAATAAACTGCATCCAGATGTGTTCTGCGAGCTCTCTAACTAGCACTGATTTCTGTGTTTGTCTGTGCTCGACTGCTGTTGATTAGATGAAGTCTGTGTTAAACATGGATGATCGTTTTAAAGGTACGCTCTAGACTTGAGCTGTGCTGTGACTTTATGATCAATATTGACTGTTTTTACTGTCCTTCTGCTCTTTTATTCAGGACTGAGGTTCTTAAGAGCCTTGAGGCTGATCCAGTTTTCAGAAATATTGCAGTTTTTAAATATCTTAAAAACAAGGTAAGAGTCCCTTTACAGTCTTCTTGATCATTAATTCTGTGTACATCTTATATTGTCTAAAGGTTTACAGCTCACTGTATGTCTGTTTAATATATTGTGCTTCAGTTTTCTGTGGAATATTTGCTTTATTTAAAATTAATTCCTGATTTCCTTCTCTAATTTTTGTGATGTAATTACAGAATGAAAAGTGTCATTTCAGAGACTGCCTAAATTAAACAAATTATTATGTATTATCACTCTAATTTAGGCTGTTTTAGTTATATTTTATATTATATTATATTGTTCACTTATTATATTGATATAGTGTTGTTTTATTATTTATATAATAATATATTTTATATTGCATTATTTAGTGTTATATTATTTTATTTTTAAATTTTATTAGTATTTTCTTTTCTTTTACTCTTTCTTTTACTTCTTTTTCCTTTTCCTTTATCTTTGTTTTACCTTCTTTTACCCTTTTTACCTTTTCTTTTGTATTTTTCATCTGCTTTTTCTTTTTCTTTTTTCCTTTTCCTGTCTTTTTTCATTTGCTTTTTGTTGTCTTTTCTTTTTTTCTTTTCTTTTCTTTTCTTTTTTTTCTTTTCTTTTCTTTTCTTTTCTTTATTTTTCCTTTCTTTTCCTTTCCCTTTCCTTTTTCCTCTCCTTTTCCTGTCCCTTTCATTGTCTGTTCTTTTTTCTTTCTTTTCCATTTTTCTTTTTGTTGACTTCTTTTTTTCCTTACTTTATCTTTTCCATTTCTCCATTTTTTTTCTTTTTCTTGTCTTTCATTTGTTTCTGTTCACTGATGATTTCCCTGTATTTCCCTCTTACTTTTCCCCATACCCATGGAGTGTTTATATAAAACTATATATATGTAGTATCTTGTATGTGTATTATTTTAGTTCTGCATTTGATTTAATTCTCTGTGTTGTGTTTCTATTGCTTTATTTCCTCATGTTCTGTCTTTGACATTGCGATGGTAAATCTCTGGTCTCCTCCAGCTTAGCGCTAAAGCTTTAGTGCAGCTGTCCAGGAAAGCTGATTGTGCATCAGAATGAATAATAATCTGACTGCAGAGGTGAAATCTGACCGATACTCACTGCCAAAACTAGCAGGATCCAGTTCTGCAGTAAATTACCCTGTATTAGACCTCAGTTTTTGGAAAAGGTTTATCAGACTGTTCAAAACCCAGAGCTCAGCAGAAATGACACATCCCACCTTTGAACAGATTTCAATCAAAATAGAAAATATATTTTAATGCATTTAAACAAATGAGTTTCATTAAACAGTTATATTCATTAAAAATAAGAGTTTGCTTACTGATCAGCTTTAGGAATAAAAAGATCATACATTTAAACTCAAGCTAGTTATTGAAAAAACAAAATATAAAATAAAAAATGGCAAGAAAATTTGATATTTTTATGTTTCTCTTGATTTTTTCCTGTTTATTAATGTTATATTTAATATTTTCCTTCAATATATTACTAATTTTTGTACAGTAATCCTCCTTTTTTTAGTTTAGTTTTGTCTTTAGGGCTGATTAATCTGATGTATGAATTACTGTAAAGCCTCCTGTATTAATATTAGAGAGATCTGTGAGGGCTGAACTCATTTATGTTCATCACTGTATGCAGTTGTTATGAGTGAGTATTTCTGAAATGTGTTGTTTCAGCAACTCCATCAAGTTGGTGAATTTGTGCTCCATCTTTATAAGCACATGGCTGACGGCGGCTGGATTCATTCATTTGGTGAGGCAATTCTCTCAATTCTGGCTATTAATTTTATAAGTTATAGTTTTATTTGGAAAAATTTAAGTTAATTATTTCTTTATATGTATATATATATATATATATACTACCTGACAGAAGTCTTGTGGAGGATCTCGGCTGTAAGAGCAGCAGATAGTAGCTGGTCTTCTAGTTGATGATGTGTGAAAGTGTCAGAAGGTGGATTTCTCTGCTGGATCATCTGCTGATCAGCATCCTGATCATCACCAATACTGCAGAAGACCTACGGGAACCAGCATAGACCAAGACTCTCACAGAAATCAGTCAAGTTTGGTGAAGGAGAAGTCATGGTTTGGGGTTCATTCAGTATGGGGGTGTGCGAGAGATCTGCAACATCAACAGCCTGAGGTATCAAGACATCTGTGCTGCCCATTACATTACAAACCACAGGAGAGGGACAATTCTCCAGCAGGATAGCGCTCCTGCTCATACTTCAGCCTCCACATCAAAGCTCCTAAAGGTCAAGCTGCTCCAGGATTGGCCAGCCCAGTCCCCAGACATCAACATTATTGAGCTGATGAAGGAGGAGGTGTTGAAGATGAACACAAAGACTCTTGATGAACTCTGGGATCCTGCTGAAGCTTTCTTCTTCATTCCAGATGACTTTATTAATCAGTGATGTGAGTCATGTCAGAGATGTATGGATGCAGTCCTCCAAGCTCATGATGGAGTCAGACACAATCTTCATTCTGTCTCCACTGCAGCAGGACTTTATATTCTATACTGGACATTATTTCTGTTCAGTGATGAGACTTTAGTCTGAGCAGAGTCAGAGCGCACTGTCCTCATCAAATCAGTCAACATCAAGACATGATCAGATTTATTGAGCTCAAATCAGCAGAATCTAGAGGCCTTCACCTTTCATAGAGACACTTCTGACACCAGATCAGCAACTAGAAGAGCAGTTAATATCTGTGCTCCTCAATCTTGGATGGGACACAAGACTTCTGTCAGGTAGTGTAAATCTGCTGCTGCTGTTGTTTTCAGGTGGAGAACTCTGGAGATCCTTGGGAGAACTTCCAGAATTCGCAGCCTCTGTCGTACTGGGAGTGTGTGTATTTACTGATGGTGACCATGTCCACAGTGGGCTATGGAGATGTGTGTGCGAAAACAACCCTCGGCCGCCTCTTCATGGTCTTCTTCATTCTGGGAGGACTGGTAAAAACACTCATCAAATACAGAACACCCAGAATAACCCCTGACCCATGATCAACACCACAGCTGGACACAAACACACCACTGCCTTTACTCTCCTCTGTGTGTGTGTGTGTGTGTGTGTGTGTCTGTGTGTGTGTGCGTGCGTGCCTGCCTGCCTGCGTGCCTGCCTGCGTGCGTGCCTGCGTGCCTGCCTGCGTGCGTGCGTGCGTGCCTGCGTGCGTGCCTGCGTGCCTGCGTGCCTGCCTGCGTGCGTGCGTGCCTGAGTGCGTGCCTGCGTGCGTGTCTGCGTGCGTGCGTGCTTGCATGTGTGCATGCGTGTGTGTGTGCCTGTGAGACAGAAAGAATGTGTGTGTGTGTGTGAGAGAGTGTGAGTGTGAGTGTTTTCTTGTCCTGCAGTGTGTGTGTTTGGTCCAGCAGCTCTTCTGGAGTGTTCCTCCTGCTGTATTTGTTAAGTTATTGTGATGAGGGGAACCATCATTAGCGAGTACAAAGTGATTCTGTTTGCAGACTGCGGTTTACTGTAGTAGAGCTGACCCAGTTTACCCCACACCCACACTCCAACAAACTGCATGAAGACTGAGATGAGAAACACCATCAGCGGAGACACACACACACACACACACTGAAGAAATGCACATTTAATTATTTAAATCTAAAAGAAACTTTGTGATGAAAATGTGTAATTTATACTTTTGGTTAAAA